CTGGGGGGTGATTTCTCGCTTTCTGTCTCTATGTCTCTCTCTGTCTGTCTGGTGAACGCACGCGCCCTATAGCGAAAACCTCTCCCAAACAAAACAAAACAAAACAAAACAAAACAAAAACAAAGTTCTTCTCTGCAGAGTATACAGCAGAAGTAAAAGGCTTCTGAGGAGGAGAGCACTTCCTATTTGCCAGATTTACTTTATTAATTATTATTATTATCTTTTTAGAGAGATTTTTGTTATAGGGCACATGTGCTTGCTGGAGAGATAGAGAGACAGAAAGTGAGAAAGGGATGGCCATGCTGCAATACCTTCTCCTCCATTCTCCTCTCAGAATTTTGGGCACACACACACATATGCCTACCATGAGTTTCAAGCCTCTAGGTCCAGGACTTGAACCATGGTTGACCATGTGTGAGTCCAGCAATGTAACCATTATGCCATCTGCTGGTCCCTTATTTATTTATTTTAAAAATTTGCAATCGGGAAGAGAGACACAGAGAGAGAGAAGAAAACTGCTAAATCACCATAAATCACCAACCTCCTGGGGGGCCAGGGGAATGGCCATGCCACAGTCTTCTCATCCTTTCTTCTCTTAGGATTTTGAGTATACACACACACACACACACACACACACACACACACACACACACACGACTGGTGGGTTTCTTAACCTGCTGGGTTTGGAATTCAAACCGTGCAGTTGACCATGTAATATCTAGCCACCTTAGCTACCAGACCAACTGCTGTCCCACTATATGCCAATTTCGCAGATTTAATTCTCATTTATCTTGATACCAACAGTATGAAGTAGGTGATATATCCCTATTTAAAAACAGAGGAAACTGAGTCTCAGAGTGGTCAGGTGACTTAGCCCCCAGATGCCAGAGCCAGGCTTGGAGCCCAGCTCTGGCTGGGCCTAGGGTTTGTGCCCTTCTTGATTCCTGGTCTGACTCTCTGTTGATGTGCCTCAGGGTCAAAGACAGAAGGGTGGGTCTTAGCCTCCATCTCCGTGCATGACTGGGCTTCTCATTCAGTACCAGGTATTTATTTGCCAAGTGCTTTCTGTATGCCAGTTACTGTTAGAGATGTGGGGATGCTGCGGAGAGCAATCAGCATAGACAGGGCTTTGCCCTGATGGAGCTCACATTCCAGCAGGGGTAGAATAAGCAGTAACTGAGAAAGCAATGGAATAAGATAGAGCAAGGTGGGGCTGGAAGTGGCTTGGTGGGTGAGGCACTGGACACCCACATGACCAACTGCTGTTTGAATCCTAGACCTGATGGCGTGCTTTCTTACTTTCCCTTTCTCTCTGGTCAAATTAAAAAAAATAAAATAACAATAACAAATAAACTAAATAAAAATTTTTTTTTAGGAAAAAATTAGGTAAATGTAAAGAGAATATCACTTCCATTCTAACACAGCTTCTCCTCTGTCCTCTCGTCTTCACTCTTTCTCTCATTTTTTTTGGAGAGGTTTTTGCTATAGGGCGTGTGCCCTCGCCAGACAGACAGAGAGAGACTGACAGACAGAAAGCAAGAAATCACCCCCTAGGGGGGATGCCCATGCCACAATCCCTTCTCCTCCATTCTCCTCTCGGGATCTTGGGCATGTATGCACATGCGCCTGGCATGAGTTTTAAGCCACTGGATCCAGGACTCAAACTGCGGTTGCCTACATTGGAGTCCCGCGACATAGCCATTATCCTAACTGCTGGTCCCTTGTCTTCACTCTTGAGCTCAGCAATGGAGCAAGAGTGATCTGAGGGCAGATAGCACCCCCTCCCTTCCATCTCAGCTTGAGACCGTTTCTGCAGTCACACAGACCCTTGTAGGCAGCAGAGAGAGAGGACAGAGAGAGAGGACGAAGGGTGACGTAAGACCTTAGAAAAGGTCTTTCAGGTTCCACACTGTGGATTCAGTGTTCTTCA